TATTCACACTATGTGGGGTGGAAGATAAGGGGAGGATAATCCTACTTTGTTTTCTACTTTGTTTTCCAAGCCTGCTTTCTGGCTAATTCAATCTACTGGATCAGTAGGAGGGACATGGGACAGATTAAAAAAATGTTGACTGTCAGATCACCGGGGGATTTGGATTAATGCTCTTTTGCACAGAGTGGAAGCATATGGGACACAGAGTGCAGCTCTCCTTGGAAAATTACTGTCAAAACAGTACCATCTCAATTAACATAGCTGCTGACTTGTGAAGCAGGGATCAGATTTTACTTGAGTTAACCTTCAAAAAGCACTTTCTGAATAACTGCTTACTAATAACCTCCTGCTACACCAACAATATTGCCTAATAATAGCATATGCAAGTCACATCTGTACAACTCCACAAGTGCTACTGTAGCATATAACATTCTATAGACTCTCTTAGGATAATATGAAGGGAGGAAAGATACATTCATCCACCCTGACAACTGCTATGAAGATCCCATTTACCTCCTGTAAAATGAGAAGTACTTTTGATCTAATACCCTTCATATAAATAATGGAATTTCACAGTATGGGCTTACTGCTCAATTTGACTGCATTTCAGCTGATTTCCAAGGCTGAAGTTGTTTTTGTAGCTAATTACATACAGACATTCTTTTCGGCATTTCTTCCACAGATGTTCCAGCTGGCTTCCCCACCAATTTCCTTGAAAAATAGGGAGGATCTCTTATGTGTAATTTCTTTATGTGCAATTTATGAAATGTTTTATCTGAAGAGATCATTAATGTCTGAAAGTTAAGCTCTAAGAATGAGACTGCAGCTAAAACTTTATCTGCACATGAAGTAAGACTGCAGCCCAGTAAATGACCTCTTCTTCAGAAGCCCCTACCCCTCTCAGTATCTACCAGAAAGGGGTCATGAGGAATTCTGCTCAAAGTACTATCAACCTATACCATTAAAAAATGACAAATTTTGGTCTTCTTCACCACACTAAAGAAAAAGAGATATTCCAGCTATTAAAAATGCATGCAACAGTTGCATGAATTTATTGCATCAATTTATTAATGTCTTATGTCTTCTATAAAAAATATAATTAAAATAAACCTCATAACAATAGTACTGCATCAAAAGAAATTATCTTTCTGATACTTTCACTAGTATAAAATGTAGCTCTCTGACCTCATTCATCATACATAAAAACTGAAACAAGTCTCCTACACAAATGTGTAGTGCAGATTTTTATAATGAAGAGTATCAGGAAATCAGTGGAATGAACACCTTCAAATACATAATTAGTTGGTTCTTTATTGTGTGTATTACATCTCAAGATCCCTGCAGCACATGACTTTATTTCCCATATGCATCAAAATTTATGTAATTAATTTTTATAGGCACTAGAGATTCTGCGTGCTAAGTATAAGAAATATTTAAGGAACCTGCTTTACAGAGGGTAGCTCTGAAAAATGTTATTCAAAAGTGTATTGACTGAGACTTTTCTTTTTGATTCTTGTACACGCAGATAAATGTTTGCGCTTGTAAGTATAGTGCACATAAATATGCTCTTAAGCAAGAAAATTGCTTGAGTGGTTGGGTTTCAGTCTCAGTAAAGGGTTTGTCCTAAATTCAGGGTAATCCTATTCCTTAAAGCTGCTATCACTAGGACATGCATTTTGCAGCTGTCTTTGGCAAACATATGAGGAATACCTCATATATTTTAAGGTTCCCTGTGTTCACTATGTATTTCTGCAGCCCTTTTGAAACAAATGACTCATTCTTCTCAGATAAAATAAACAATCCATTTGCTCATAATTTACTATCTTAACATTTACTTTCTCTATACGATGTTATGAAAAATGTTGGAGTTTCCCCTTGCTGTTAAATGTAAAAGTCTCATGGTTTCTTTGAAACAGGTAACTGATGAGCTCAGTTTAGCACACCTAATTGGAGTCAATACAATGAAAGTAACACACACACAAAAAAGATAATAAGGACCAAGTACACTGTGTCATAGATGGTAATTCAGCATTCTCACACTAAAATGGAATGAAATATTTATTATTATATTTTTGCTTACCCTGCTTTTTTAATAATTGCATATATAGACTTTGAAGCGAATCATTGTTAAATGCTGAGCTTTGCCTGAAGTCACCTGAGAATCCAGTAATGAATCTTTGGACAATAGGCTACAGTGTAAAAATCAAGACAAAGAATCAAGACTTTTCTTGATTCTTCTTTTCCCTCTTTGACCTCTTGTACTTTGTCCTTAAGGGCTGCTTTCAGTGCAATGTGAAAAAAAATCTGCAGATGAGACACACTTCAATGGATATTTCAACCTTTTAAAAGCAAAGCAATTGGCATTACAGTTTTGCAACCCATGGTAAGGAAGGAACATTAACATTCATAAACCTCAGTTCCTACTTATCAGAGAATAAATGGACACAAGGCTATCAAGCAAAATAATCTGAACAGCATCAAAAGCAATAAATGTTCAATAGGAAATGAATTTGGTAAATTTTAAGGGCATTATAACTATTCACCATAACTTGTTCAAGAACTGTAACATATTTGGTACTCCATTAAATTCTTTTAACCCTGTTTTTTTTTTTTTTTATGAATAAAGGAATTCAATTCCATTAAACTATGGAATAGTTTCTTTAAAGCAATTTGCAAGACCTAAACTCTCACATATCTTTTTGTTTGTCTCCTTCAGTTTATTTCTCTTATCCAGCTTTTTATGAGTCACTGGAATTACTTCTGAATCACAAACACATTTGGGTGATTTAGAAAACAACTGCAAAAAGAGGGACCCATCCTGGATTATTAAAATGATGACTGTAAATCTAGGCTTTTTTAAAAGCCTTTTTATAACATGTTTATGCATGGCTTTCTCAAATCATCACTGCAGGACTGATACTGACCTGCAAAGGGAAGACACCCTTCAGCTCCTGTTGCTGCTTCAGAATTTGTATTCTGAAAAATGATGTAGAATTGCTGAAAAATTTGCCTTCTCAAAATTATGTAGCTATTAACAAGTCAAGAATGTATTTTTCATAAGGAAATTACTTCTTACCTAAAAAAATTACAATTTTGTCATGAATACAGGAATTTAAAATGCTGGTTTTTGTATAAGGTTTTTGAGGTTAGAAATGCTTTTTGGTCTGCATTCACTTTCTTTGCCAACAGGAAGGGAAAAAGAGGTATGGAAATGTCTGCAAATAGCCTAAGTAGTTCTGTTAAAGCAATACAGAACATTGCTCTTGTGGGGAGACAACATGCTTTTTGCAGCAGAAGGATATGTCACAGATAATGGAAGATCAGCTGAAAAGGAAAATGAGCCATTGCCTGGACATCAGGATGGGGTGAGCAGAAGTATTGCACAGAAGAGCCTCTTCAGTCTTCTGCTGAAGCTGGGTATATCCAACTCTGCCTTGGAGAATAAAGCCACATGGGATGATTTTGCTTCACACACTTGGAGCACACACAAAATGTCTTGCTGATTAATATAAAACTGTGTGCAAGTGGCTTATACTTATGTTTGACTGATACACCTCTAGTGGAAGATGTAGACAGGCTGGTGCTATACAACTTCATCCCAGACAAAGAAGGAAATCAGTGCCATGTCTGCCCCAAAAATCCAAGACAGTCAAAAGAATATCCTTTGCCTTGCCCAATTTCTGGATTTACAAAGAGGCTGCCAAGATTTTCACAGCTTGAAGGCAAGTGAGAAGGCAGATGGCAGAAAAAAGCTCTGCAGTGGGGGAGCAGAAACACCCCTCAATACTCTGACCATGGAAATCAGAGGAAAATTATAGCACTACAACCAAGAAAGGAAATGCTGTAAATGAGGTAGCTGAAAGAGAGCTGCCTTGGCAGACCACCAGGGTTCAGAGGCAGCATGGCAGGGGTTTCAATTTCACATTGGCTGTAACTAAATGGTGAGGCAAATATGAAAATTCTTCTATTTGGCATATGCCTATTTAAACTAGATTTTATTAAAATACATTGTCAGTTTCCACCTCTATCAAAAGTTGGTATATCAGACCTCTTATGGGATGTTCTAGAGCCATTCCAAAATGGCTCTGTTCTATCACTATCACCTGTCACTCAATTCCAAATCTTCCTGTGTCTCCTATGGGAATAAATGTGTTTTGACAAGTTGTAGAGCTTCCTATTTCAAAACTTCCCTTTTCTTCTGGCAACTGCTCAATATCCTCAACTCCTTTTATTTATTTTCATTTATTTTTAATAGCAGAGAAACAGAATCACTGAGAAACATTTCCCATTACTGTTTTGGTATAAACTCAAGTGCTTTTGGGACACAGGTGCCATTCTAAGTTTACTTTAATTATGCATTTGCTACTGTTAACACCCACAATAACCATATCTTAACTGAAATTTAAGACAGTGGCCTCTTTTCTGGAACCTGACAGGAATGTACCAAACTGTCAAACTCTAATTTTAAAACCAAATTCCACCAGTATGATCTTCTGTGTTATTCTAAATAAAGGTTAAGGTCCTCAACAGGCTAAGAAAAAAGGTGCCAGGGCTACTCCATAAGGGAATATGAGCAGGAATTGAGAGTGGCCCCAGCACACGGGTCAAAGAGCAGGGCACAGCCCCGCTGTCTCTGGAGGCAGCAGGTGACAGTCAGTGCAGATGGGTAGAGCTCATTCACCAGAGCCCCAGAGATGGTTAAGGAGTGAACTGGTCCAGTATACTTCCAGGGATTCGTCAGGAGCGGGAGGACAGAGCTGTAGGCAGTGCTGCAGAGAGGGCTGCAATGCAGTTTCAAGACTCACACAGGAGAGAGGTACACCTGCTGACACTGCTCAGGGCAGGACTAGGGCTGCTCAGGGTAACTGAGGCCAGTCAGTGCTCTCATGGCCTTGAAACAGTAACATCTACACACAATGTACTTTAGAACAACTCACAGGCATTTTCGTTAGATGAAGTGCTGGTGATATGCTACCACATTACCAAAGACAGTAGGTCTGTTTCTGGATTTTGGTCTGTTTATTACCGTTGCTTCAGTTTTTTTGCAACTTGTGCTTCTTTTTGATAATGTGTAATAATCTGAACAATTATGAAGCTATTAATTAAAAGGAAAAGCAAGCCTGCTAACCATATAAATAAATAAGTGTTATATCCTTTGAACTCCAGAAAGAATGCAGGAGTAAGCCACAGGCCTTGTCCGATGAACCACAGAAAGAGAAGCAGCACACCCCTATGCCAGGACATCTTAATACTAGGCATTACAATGGGCAAAAGGCAGAGATACCAGACAAAGTACTGGGATGTGCACACTTTGTTAAAAGTCACAAAAATAGCGGTGTGTAGGAAACAACTGAAGGCAAGGTCTCTGTAGAACGCTATGGAAACAACCAGGAGCAAAAGCAGCTGGGGCAGGAAAGCTGCGAGCCCAAGGGCAAAACTCCATTTGCTCTCTGCGGTCAAGTACAACATGTAGAAATAGGGAGAGAAATTATGACGGATATCCCTCCTAGTCAGGTGATAGAGGTAGGCGTGCTCCAAAAACTCCCAGCCATAGAGGTGATAAAATGCCACAGTCAAGGCAGCCAGCACTGATCCGGCAACTGTTCCGAAGAGTAGCACGTCGCGGCTCAGCATCTCTACAAGAAGGTGCCAGAGGCGCGCCACGGACGCGACCTTCGCCGCTCTGTCACCCCGCGCACGCAGCGCCGCTTCCCCGCGGCCCGGCCGGGCGCGCAGGCGGAGCGCTATGGGCAGCGCGTAGCTCAGGGGGTAGATTTTCATGTGCACGGCCAGCCCGTAGCACACGGCGGCCTTGCCCACGCTGCCCGCCTCCACCCAGTGCAGGGTGGCGAGCACCAGCAGCGCCACCAGCGCCTCCGCGTTGCCCCGGCTGGACACGGCCATGGGCAGCGGGTTGAGGAGCCAGGCGGCGGCGCAGCACCCACAGGCGCGGCCGGCGGCGACCCCCCGGCGCCGCAGGGCCCGGTAAGCGACGCCAGCAGCCGCCAGGTCCCCGGCCACGAAGAGCAGCTTCCCGAAGGCCTCGGCGAGGAACACGTTGGGCGTGAGCAGCCAGGCCAGCAGCGGCGTGTAGCGGTAGGTGGCCCGCCGGTAGGGCGAGCGCCCCTCGGTCACCAGCCGCGCCGCGTCCGTGAACACCCGGTAGTCGACGTCGGTGTAGCGCACCCGCATGGTGCGGTCCTGGTACAGCCCGTACAGCACCAGCGCCAGCCTCCCCAGCAGCCCCGCAAGCAGGGCCGCGCTCGCCCCCGCCATCCCGCCCGCAGGGGGTGCGGGGAACGCGGGAGCGGAACACGCGGGAGCGGAACACGCGGGAGCGGAACACGCGGGAGCGGAACACGCGGGAGCGGAACACGCGGGAGCGGAACACGCGGGAGCGGGCGCTCCCGGCAGGCGGGGCGCGCGCGGCCGCGCTCGGGGCGCCTTCCGCCGGTGCGCGCGGCGAAGAGGCGGCCTCGCGCCTGCGCGCTGCGCGCCGCAGCCGGGCGGGGCGGGGCGGGGCGGGGCGGCGCCGCGGGGCGGCCCCGCGCTGTGCCCGGCCCGGCAGGGAGAGGGCTCGGAGCCGGAGCCCGGGGCTGTGGGAGGGACCCGTGCGGGGCGATGGCCGGCCGTGCCTCTGCTGCGGGCTGGCAGCCTGGCAGGGCATGGTGCCGGTGTCCGGGGAGCGCTGCGGGTCAGCGGCACCGCCCTGCCGCTGCCCACTGCTCCCTCACCCTGCCGGGAGCTGTCGGGCTCCACGGATGCGGAGGCGGCAGATGCAGTAGTAGTTAAGTAAGAAGGAAAAACAGCATCTGTTATTTACCTTCCGCAAGTGGCTATGTTTTGCCTAGACGTATGAGCTCTCTCTAGAGCACTTAGGTGAGCTTCCTGCCGCGGCAGATTTCGCATTTAATTAGATCAGAAACAGTATCGTGAAAAATCGGAGCTTAGAGAGAGTCACAACAAAGGAATTAATTCCGCTCTATTTTGAGGACCTATTATGTATGTTTTTCAGATAGTTTTCCTGTCTGGATATTTGCCATCTCACATTTGAATTGGGGCTGATTGAAAAACAGGCATTTATTACTTATAACTATTGCGGGTTTCATATTAGAACTTAGAAGGGATTTTCTTAGAGATGCTTTATTAATCAAAAATATGAATTTGCTTGTTTAGTGGTTATTTACAGCCTCTCTCTTTTTGCTGAGTGGTTTCATTTGGGAATATTTTGGGAGCTGCAGTTTTGATGGCTCACATCACTTACTGGAAATAATCTGCATTTTCTCAGTTCTGGGGAAGAACCCATCAAAGAACTGGGAGCAGATCTTTTACACTTGGCAGAGGCATCTTGGAGGGTGGCCTAACTGGTAGGATATTCAGGGGACAAAATATATTTTTGTTTGTGTGCACACAGTTACTAATTTTTGTCTGTTAAGGCCATTGTTCTCTGTACAACAGTACAATGGGATATAGTCTGAGATATCCAATGGGAGAAGCATAGTAACTAACTAACCTGGGGAGTCAGTTTTTCCTCTGTCAGATACTTGCATATTTTTTACTAAACTGGACATCTTCAGTAGAAATCTCAAGGGAATTCTCCATTAACTCACCATAGGATGTCATGAAGTCCTAAAACTGATTGTTAGGTTGTTTCTGGGAAAGAGAATGAGGGTGGTTGTTGATCCTTGGTAAATAATTGCTTACTCAATACTGCTGTTCTACTTTAGAACGGAAAGATTAGTAACATTTTATTTTTTCCCCTCTTTTATTTATCTTGTACTATAATGGCTGGGGTACTTTGAAAAATGCTTCCATCACCATATCCATTGTTGTGCCCAAGCTTTTATCTAGAAAAGCTAAGAGATCGATACTGAATAAAATCACTGGGAATGAAATAACATGGAAGTAGATATATGTAGATACTACTAATTTTTTGGTTTGGAGAAGTTTGCAAGGAACTATTCTTGCTATCTGCCAGTGTTCTCCCAGGATTGTTTGCTGTTTTGATGCCTTCATGGATGGAACGTGTTTTATTATTTCAGACCCTTTCAGACCCAGAACAGGAGGCTGTTCACAGTCAGATTGCAGTTTATTTGCTGAAGTGTCCAGGTTTAATGATTTTGGTGGAATAATATGAGTTTAATAAATAAATTTAGGAATATGCTGGAGTCTCATGGTTTTCTTGTCTGTTTCTGACAGTTTGTTTTCAGACAAATCTTTTGTTTGTATCTGAAATTAACAGAAGTTGTTAAGCTGTTGGTAGTGACTGTTTATCAGGATTCTAAAGAGGGAAAAGTAGGTAATTTAATTCTAAAGGGTCATGAAGTAAATAAAACAGAAAATCTGCTTTAGCTACTGCATATCCTGTGACTGTATGACATTGCCAGAGCTGGAAAAAAGAATTGATTTTCCTTATCAATAATGTAACATCTTCAAAATATGCTTGAAGCTCTTCAGAGAATTAAGATTTGGCTCAAAAATGCATTTGGCTTCAGATTTGATACCAGCTTACTTAACCTGATTTGTCATATAGTGTAGACTTTAATGCAGGAAGGAGGGCAGTCTTATTAAAGTTATAAATCTGTTATTCCTGTAAAAAGCTGCTTTTATTTATATCAGTCACCATGAGCCACTTTTTGAAAATGCTGGGAGATAAAAACTAATAGAACTGCTGGGACTGAAGCTGACTGATTCCAGTGCACATGAAGGTACAAACAACACAAAGAAAAGTGTGGAGTCGCCATAACATAAATAGGAATACATATATACGTGTATATTCACATGGGCATAAAGGTTTTATTTCACTACCAGCCTGGCATTTTGTTTACATGGTCTCAAAGATGGACAATCTTATAAACTGAGGTCACTTCCAAATGTGCTTCTATTGCCTACTTGTGATGGGGGATTATAAACCTGAACTCAAATATTAACTTCTTGCTTCACCTTCTGTGATAGAGACTACTTGAGCAGCACCAGGACAGCTATTCCATAAACTACCTCATACAAGCTGCCACTACTCAAGATTTCCATGGCAGTGGTAGCATTAAAGGGCAATAAACTTGGGACCTTGTTGTGCCAAGCATTCTAAAGCCATCTGAAAACCAAGGTCCAAGTGGAGGATGGCAGCTGGAGTGGAGACAGTGCTATGCTGGTTCCTGCTCAGCCAGGGGCAATCCTCACATTTTGAGAAGGGTTAAGCTGAGGCTACTGCCATCAACAAAGATGAATATATTTGGCCAAAACCTAGATCTGATGGGTACAGTAGGGCTAAATATTGGAGGGACTAGCAGATTAAATCTGAGAATTTTGAGGAGAATAAGGAGGCTAGTGAAGGTTGACAATTAGAAGATGATTCTGTTGAACTAACATAAGGGAGATGTTGCAACTTGTAGCAGTGCAAGGAAAAAGATACAGGTGCTGAGTTGTGGTGATGAGAACGTTACTAAGATTCAGGTGGCCTAGGGGGCTAGACAAGCTGGAAAATCTGAAAAATTATGGAAAAAAGAGCAGTAAAAAGCTTTTTAGGAGGAAGGCAGTTGGAGGATGCTTCCATGCTTCCAGAATTTAGGTCATTCTACAGAGATCTCAGGGTGAGGCATTTCTCATGCAAGTCTCCTCTCGCAAACTAATTGTTAATGGCTAGCTATACTTTGTTGTTATGAGATAAAATTTGATCACAAGGGTTGTATGTTTTTCTGTCAGTTGTCATACTGTATGTATTCAGTGACACAAGTCTATATGTATAAAAAGTGGTAGGAAAATGGAGTATTTAAGGAAGTAAGGAAGATGCTGGGCAATAGCTGGTTTTAGGTCTTCAGACTTCTGAAAGGGGAGACTGCTGTGCTGTAATGTATTACAGTTCCCTTTTAGCTCTCTTGGGTTTTGAGCTCAGAATGTTTCCTTGCATGAGAAGTACTCCTGCCTAATATATTTGTAAACTGACAGTAAATTTTTGATAATATGATAAGTACAATCTGTTTCTTGCAGCACATGAAATTCTGTAGAAAAAGTGACTGACACTTTTCTCAGCTATTTTGAGTTTGACAAAATTAATTGGCTTTGCAAATAGGATTGATGCCTTTCAAATATTTGTAGTGTGTTGAGTTTTAGATATTAGCAAAAGAGAAATATAAATAAGATTATGTAAGGAAGTGTTCCTTTTTGCTTTAATACTGGAATGAGTAAGAAAAGAGGGTTTGCAAAAATTAGCTGAAAAACACATTAGAACTCTTCACAGAAGAAAATCACTGTTATATATAAAAAATCCACCACTCTCCTTTAAGCTTTTTCTGTTAATGTATTTTCTTAAAACTGACTGATAAATCTATACCCTTATTTACACATTGTGCTATAAATGTGGCTCTTTGGAGGATGTGATTGGAGTTGTAAAGGAATTTTTTTTCCACCACACTGTGATTTTGCACAGTATGCTTTCAAGTAATGTTGCTAGAGTTCTGCTTGCAGTGGTTATGCTGATTTTATGTCAGTGTATTAGGTACAATTCCAGCCCTTCAGGGAAAATAAGTACTGGATAAAAATTAGTCCATAGGGTAACCTGTTAAATTTACCATTAGAAAGAAAAGAAAATATTATATCTGAGAAAACACATGTGATGCCAAGAATAAGTCCACTGAAGCATGATGCTGGCCTAGGGGGCAATTGCAAAAATAAGGCCTGTTTTGCTTTGAGGCCATGGGGAATCTAAGGTGTGATATGGTAAACAGGAGTTGCCTTCATCTAGGATGGACAGTGCCCAACTCTTACTGCCTGACTTGCAATACCAAAACAAAGCACTTTCCCCCTTTGTGCACTGCTTCTATAGCTTTAGCTAATGGTGAAGGCAGTCCAGTGGATTAGGACTCCAGAAGTGGGAGTCATACAATCCAGGATTGTGTTGAATTTCCTTTACTTTTACATTTTTTTCCTATTCACTTCTGCTAATAAAAGAATGCAGAGAGAGAATTGATGAACCCAAGCAAAAGAGAAACTGGAGCCAAATGACAAATTATGGATTTAGGAGACTGAGGGTTCCTGGCACCAGACCTCTGGTTTCTGACCATTGTGCAGAATGACACCTCCAGTGACACCTCCAGAAAGCACCTGTTAAAGGCTAAATCTTATTGTGCTAAGCATCACTTCTTGCCAACTTTTGAATGTGTAAGGAAAACATTTTGTGCATTTTTTAGTTTATAACTGCCTAATTTTTTTTAGGTGAAAAGAGGCAAAACTTGAAATGTAACTTTGCTGTTCTGAGGCTGTGTTGTGTTTGCAGTTACTCACTAAGAACAAGTAACTGTAATTACAGGTAAAGTCTCAAGCTAAATCTTGC